TTTTGGGAAAAAAAAATTATCTTCGTCAGAAGAGAGGTCCTGGGATAGGGCCTCATTATCAATAAGGGAGAGATGGCATGAAGTCTCCCAACACTGAGCTAGAAGAGCTTGAATCCTTTCTGTAACCATCCTAGTCAGGGCCAGCCAAGCTGGGATGAGGGTTAGAGAGATGGGAGGAGAGTCCAAAGAAGGGAAGCATGGGTGGGGGAGGGGAGCAAAGTGCAGACAATGTGGACAGAGTCTGTCCAGAGAGCCAAAAGGTTCCAGTGAACTGGCAGGTTAGATATCAAGCCAAAAACAGATGCAGATAGAAATAATGAAGAGGAAAGGAAGGATGCAGAGAAATCCATACAAAATCATCTTTTTAACTATATAATTTGTTTAGCCAAACCTTTAGCTATAAACCAAAGTACATTTTCACACTTAATTTGTGTTTCTTTTTCTATTCACTTTACATCCTATAACTTGGTTTTTCTGTTATGTTGCAATAAGACAGAATTTTCACTGCTGCAATCACTTGATATAGAGAATTTCTTTAAGTTTAAATGGACACAGCCATATTCCATACAACTAGATAAGGAGGAGACTAGTAGAAATATCTTTTTGACTCCAAGAAATATCTACAATATGGAATGCTCTAGAAAAGATCAGGCATTTGTGACAAACTTTCTCCCAGCTTGCTTTGTTTTCTCTGTTTGTAATGCAATCAGATTATATTAAAAATAATAAGACTGTTAATTAGAAGATTTAAATTGATTTCAATTAGGCTGAAAATATTTTTCCTTTCTAATATGCAAATTGCCAAAGAAGAAGATTTATGTGGAAACTCAAGTGGTGGATCTGCCAATTAAGGAAGAGCTGCCTCATTGCAAAAATGCCAATAGAGAGTGAATTCCTTTGTTTCAAAAGTTAACGCTGTGGATAGGGCTGGAAAATAAATCAACAGATGATAGTTATATTCTTCTCCTTATTGAGAGTTTCACAGTATAATGTAATGTCAACAGTGATTGATTCAAAGTAAGAATCAGGGGTCTGGCTGTAGGTCTATTACTAATTAGCCATATGACTTTGAGCAAATCTTTCTCTGTTTCTTTTGTCTCATCTATGAGAACAAGATTTTGGGTCAGAGGATTGCTCAGCAATCTTTTTCAGTTCTGAGAGAGAGTGATGCTAAATGAATTAATTCTAATAGTTCTAATATATTAGGTATTTGAGTATTGAAATCCTAATTGTGGGTCTAGCTTCACCTTAGCAACAGTTATGGCAGTAATTCATATCACAGGAATTCCCAACTCATGACCATTCACTCCTCTTCCTTCCATCCTAATCCTTAGCTACTTCCAAACAGGAATAATGCTACAGTGGAAATGGAAGCCAAATTCCCTGCAGCACCCGGAGAATAGTGCTAAAGCACCTGCTTCTCTATTCTGTTCATTAAAATAAAAAATGAAATCTCCTATGTCCATCTGGCACCATTCAGAGGTTGCCAACCTGGCATCATTCATGGGTACTAAATTCACTGACTCTTATCTAAAACAAATTTTAGAATTCCTGGTCGTAAGCACAGCATGAATGAAATCAGTAGATTTTGCTATAACTAGTGACATTTAATTCCAATCAGCAAACCACAAATTCCATATCACTAATTTTGCTCTATGATCCTCAAAACAGGTTACAGAAATAGCAATGTAAACTTTCGAAAATGTTAAGACAATCCTGACAGGACTCAGAGTTAATATTAATATGTCATATTAAATGACTCTAAGAAAATGGATAAATAAAATTTCAAAAACAAAACTAGAATTTATTATTTAATTGGGTGACATAAAAATAAAAATAAATTAGAAACTACCAAATCCATTAAATAATAGCCAATTAACTTTTTCTCTTTCAAAATAAGAAGTGACTGGAGCAGCCTTGAAAATCTTCATAATTAAAGAAACAGTCAAGAAACAAACACTACATATTCATTCCAAAAAGTAGTACAAATGAGTCTATGTAATCACACTAATGAGCTGGTGGACTTTTTCTATAACTATTAAAGCACAAAAATACAAATTTGTGCTCATATTAAAACATTATCAAATATCCATTTAGCTCTTGGAATATTTTTCTGAAAGTAAAAGTGAAAAAGATCACTAAATCTCTTGATGTTTCATAATAAATTCATGAAAGTAAAAACTATCTGGGCTGGGGCTTTAGCTCAGTTGGTAGAGTGCTTTGTTTGCATGCATAAAGCCCTGGGTTTGATCCCTAGCACCAAAAACTAAAAAAAAAAAACCAAAAACCTAGTTAGCCAAATTGGACAAAAAAAATTTTTTTAGTCCTTTTTGCTTCTCTTTCTAGTTCATGTATGTTATCATTCCAGGATTTATAATTATGCAAAAACCATCAAAGTGTGTCTGATCCTGAGCCAGAGCAGACATTTTAATGGCCATTTTCTATTGGTCCTTCCTAACAGTGTAATAAACAGGGAAAGACAAGAAAAAGTGTTATCACAGTTGTATCGATCTGATCATTTGTTTGGGCTCAATTTCCACTTTGTTACATATGGACCTATGTAGCACCTTATGCAGTTGAATGAGGATAGTATAATATGAGGAAATAACAGCAATAGATGAGAGAGAAGGACATCAGTAAGGACAAGGTGACAGATTAGGAGAGAGCTGAGACAGTTGAAACCTAAAAGTGTGAAGCACTGCCACAAAAGCCTGGGGTAAAAGGAGGGAAGATGCCGGGTTTGAGTTTTGGCCTCAGCTCCAAATCACTTTTAAGGAGGTTCAAAATCTGCTGAAGACATAAAACTCTCTCAACCTCAGTTTCCCTGATGATTTTGGCACCCCTGCTCATTCTCTACATCTAAAGAATTCTCTACATCTAGAGCTCCCTCCTCCCCACTACTGAGCCCACTAGACTTTCAGCCATGGTCTCTCTGTCTCAGCTTCTGAGCTCCATCTTAGTCAGGTGATTTGGCATTAATTCAATCTAGCACAGTAGTTTTCAACATTTGCTATAGATGAGAAACTTCCAAGGAAGCCCAATGTCCAAGTCACTTCCAAGATCATCTCTTCATATGATTCCAGTCTACATCCATAATTGCTTATTATTCTGATTATGATTTTCTATCCTGATAACAAATATGTGTCAGTTACAGGGTTTTGACATTTTCCACATACAACACTGCCCATTTGTACTCAAGTTGCAGTGATTAGTTATAGGCCTTACCCTTTGGACTCAATTTCTTGCTTTAATATTTCTGCCCAATGATCAGCTCTTCTAAGAGGGAATTCTTCTCTTATTCTAGTTTACACTATCAGGCCTGAACTCCAGCCCCTGATCTCCTGTCTCCACAGCTGCAATAAAATTTATGATGTTCCAGCAACCTCGCTGTACATCACTGCCCACTAAGACTATTCAGAACATTTTTATTTGAAAACTGGAGTTTTATTATTATTAGTAGTAGTATATTATAGTATTATTATACATAATATGTAGCATATATTATATATATAGTACTATAGTACTGTTATTTATAATTAATACCTATCTATTAAGAAAGAACCTACATAGGCTACTTAAAGAAGGTGAGATTTGAAGCTGAGTCAGTCCTAATTAAGAAGAGAAGGAGAGAGGGAGAGAGGGAGAGAGAGAAAGAGAGAGAGAGAGAGAAGAGAAAAGGAAAATGTTCTATCTTAAAGGGGAAAACATTTGTAATCAAAAGTGAGTGAATAATTACAGTTATCTTATATTACACAAAAGTGTCACAAACATATAGCCTCTTCAACAAATGGTGCTGGGAAAACTGAAACCCATATGCAACAAAATGAAATTAAGCCCCTATCTCTCACAATGCACAAAACTCAACTGTAAGTGGATCAAGGACCTACGAATTCAACCAGGGACCCTGCTCCTAATAGAGGAAAAAATAGACCCAAATCTCCATCATGTTGAATTAGGCCCTGACTTCCTTAACAAGACTCCTATAGTGCAAGAATTAAAATCAAGAATTAATAAATGGGATGGATTCAAACTAAAAAGCTTCTTCTTAGCAAAAGAAACAATCACTGAAGTGAATAGAAAGCCTACAGAATGGGAGCAAATTTTTACCACATACACATTAGATAGAGCACTATTTCCAGGATACATAAAGGACTCA